GATATCTCCATGTCTATCTCTTTCGTGATCCTGTTTACGGCTTGAACCGCCAACACCGCTCTACAAAGTTCAAGCCGTGGGATAATGATAGGGTTGATTGGCGTTACTTTAGCCTGGCCGACCGAACACGAGGGATACAGAATGTTCTTCTTTGCAATTGAATAGGCGAAGATAGACAGCAACATCGATGGCTCTTTGGCTTGCATCTGAAAATGCGTGTAATTCGGCTCTGGTAATTGGACCAAATTACGGTGGGTGGTAGCATCTCTGTATCGAGCCGTTCTGCAAGTCTGGGAGTGCATTTTTCCAGCTTTGCCAGCCCAATGAAAGTTCTTCCGGAAGAGGATTGTCCCATCCCAGTGGTGCTGTGGCCGTTTTCTTCTTGCCCATGGACACCAGTTGTTGTAGGAGTAATCTTCCGTGTAATAAGACTGGAGCAGCTAGTCCAAGAGGGTCATAAACTGAGTTGACCACCGATAGAACTCCACGTCTTGTTAATGGTTTATCGAGTATTGATACCTTGTAGGTAAATGCGTCGGTCTCTAGGTCCCAAAGTACACCAAGGGAGCGCTGGGCTGGCAAGTTGTCTTGGCGCAAATCCAAGCTGCAAATGTCTTTCGCTAGGTCTTCCGTGGGAAAGGCTTCCATACGTCGTGCCTACGTCATGCTCCCCGCCGTCGTCGACCGTTCTTCTCAGCCCGTAGGTTGCCACTGCAGGACTCGGACCGTTTCAAAACAGGTAAGCCGTCATTTGAAACTCTGTGACGGGCTTCGAGAGGTCATTCTCCTTAAACCATAAGAAGTGTAAGAAGTCTCAGTGTTCTGGGGAAACGTGGAACGAATGGAACATCTGCTCCACATCACACATTGCCGCAACATCTTCTCGCCGGAAGCGAATTAGGACTCCAGCTAAACTGTTCATGAGGTCTGGGCCTGTGAGCAGCTCTCGATTGAGGGACTTTCCCTGATATTCAGCCGAAGAGTCGAACACCACTCTAATGTGCTCCGGCTTTTTCGTATGGTACACCGATTAGGGGTAGATACCATATTCGTCCAGAGTGTTCACTGGGAGATATTTCTTCGTCGGGAACTGGTACCGCATGGCCTTTGTCTAGCAGCTTTGACATAAATTCAACGTAGTCCTTCTCCATCTGTGGTTTGCGTTTGAAGGTCAGCAGCAGCCCGTTCAAACGTTTCACTGCATAGCCTCTGTTGTTTGGCATGGATACGTTCTGTGAGTGAAACGGCAAGGGCATTTCCCAGTTTCCGAGCTTGTTCTTCTGAATTCCTTTCTCCATGATCTCCATGAACCTGCGATCTTCGATTGACAAGCCTACATCGTTGTCGTTTTGAGTTACGCGGTAGACATCTGCTGTATTCTTGGCATCACTG